TGTATTTCTTTGAGACCTCTGTTCATTTCCTCTTTTTGTTCCTCTAGTAACTGCATAAGCATATCTTTAAAGTCATTTTCCTGTGTTTCCACTGAATTAAAATATCCATTGATTTTTGGGTTGCTGGTGGGGCTAAGGTGTCCTGATTTTTGTTGGGTGCATTCTTACACCTACCTTTGGCCATTTGCTTATATGTGATCTTCACTGTTTTTTCCTTGAGTCTGAACTTCAGACTAGAATTGTCTTTCTCTGATGTCTGGACTATTCTTCAGGAAGATCAGGGAAGTCCAATGATTTGAGAGTGTGTGTTGCTGCTAAAGTTGTACCTGAACGAGGAAAAGCCACAGGTGCAGATTCGTTATTGTGGGGGGAGTAAGCATGTGTGTGTGTGTGTGTGTGTGTGTGTGTGTGTGTGTGTGTGTGTGCACACGTGCGCACGTGTGTCTTGAAGGGGAGTGCTAGAGAGTGTAGGTGCTTGGGATATGGGGTTGGGAGCAAGTGCAGGAGGGGATGTGGATGCTGACGCAGTTAGCAAGCGCAGATTGCGGGCACAAAGCACCTGTGCAGGTTTCCTGAATACCCTGTGGTCTCAGTCTGTAGAGGGCTCTGCAGGCTGGACTCTGAGGTCTGTGGCTGAAGGTGTGGGTGGGACAAGTACTCTGTTGCGGGCTCTGTGTGCCCTGCCCTGTGCTCTGTGCTAGAAGCTGGGAGCACAGCAGGCTGGGCTCTGCTCTCTGAATTGGGAAGCACTATGTGATTCCTCTGCTGCCTCCCACTCAGGCAAGGCTGGAGATCGGAGGTCTTGGGGGAAATGCTGGGGGTTTGAGTGTTCTCAATCTCAAATATCAAGGAGGGAGATCTGTGCTTGGAGCAGGCAGCATTGTGTGCAGGCGAGCTGTGTGCACTGTGGGGTGCCTCCTCTGCTTCAGCTGCTAGTTGTAGGAACTCCAGAAACTGGTAACTGCGCTGCAGCTTCCGGAATCGATTTCCAATTCGGAGTTTCAGCTCCTCTGAATAAGGTGCATGCTGGTCACTGCCATCTTGGAATAGATATTGCTTATTTTAATAAATACTGAAATTATTAATTCTGTTTAGAAAGTAAACAAGTTTCTTATGATTTTTAAATATGAATGGATTTATTTAAGTGTTTAAATCTGTGGCAACATTTTAAACTTTAAACAAAGAAGTACATCTGGCTTTAGTTCAAGTTGCAAGGGGCAACACCAATACATATGCCAAAGTGGACTAGGAATAGCCCACCAGGCCTCAGATCCAAACAAAGAACTTCAGTCAACTAAGGAACACTGAAAGAAAACAGTCTGTCCCAAAGAATAGGACATCAATTGGTTATCCAACACTAAATGGTCAATACTGAATACAAGTAACATTTTACAGACTGAGCAGGTTATATTTGGAAATATATGTAGGTATATACATGTAATATAAGATGTATATTATATTAATATAACAACAATTAATGAAAAAAGAACCATGAATTTGAAAGATAGAAAAAGGTATTTGGGAGACTTTGTAGAGAGGAAAGGAAGGAACAAATTATGTAATTGTATTGTAATATTAAAGATAGGGGACTGGAGAGATAGCTCAGCAGTTAAGAACACTGTCTGCTCTTCCAGATGTCCTGAGTTCAAGTCCCAGCAACCACATGGTGGCTCACAACAATCTATACTGGGATTGGATACCTTCTTCTGACATGCAGGTGTACACGCAGATTATGTACTCAGGTACATAAAATAAACAAATCTTAAAAACATAACATTGAATATAAAAAGAAGAAAGTTTAAAAAGGACAAATATCCTGACTATCAGCGACATAAAAAAACTAATTATGGCAAAACTCTGAATTTATGAATATAAAAATGCTGGTTAAGTTCACCTTCTCCTAACTAGACATGCAGAAAATATGCTGCTGAAGACCCTTCAAAGAGCGTCGTTTGGCTCAAACGCAAGGGCGGGAATACCGGCGGGAAGGTTCGTGCTGGTCCCCGGGGCGGGATGACATGGTCCGTAGTCTTACAGGGAAGGAATTTATGGTGATGCAATAAGGAGCTTCTTCAGGAATGGTGGCACCAGAGTGGTTGGTGATGGTGGCAGTATTTCCAAAGGGAGAATATCTTCTTTAAAAGCCCGAGCTGTTTTTATTGACATGGAAGAAGGAGTAGTGAATGAAATTCTCCAAGGACCACTGAGAGATGTATTTGATAGCAAACAGCTCATCGCTGACATTTCTGGCTCAGGAGATAATTGGGCTGTGGGTCACAAAGTTTTTGGAAGTCTTTACCGGGAACAGATTTTACAGAAACTCCGGAAGCAGCAGAGCACTGTGACTGCTGGCAGTGTTTCTTCATCATACACTCCATGGGAGGAGCGAGGACAATGTTGTCACCTCACCTTATAACAGCCTTCATGTTTGCCATGGAGGAGCTCAATGAGCATGCAGACTGTGTGCTGCACATTGACAACCAATTTTTATTTGACATCATTGGCAAAACTGATCTTGTGGTCAGTTCTGGAAAGTTGGATACAGCTGTGAAGCCTAAGAGTCTCATTACCTCGAATGTAGGGGCTGTTAAAAAGTGCCACAAGAAGCCCTTTGACACAATGAACAACACTGTGGCAAACCTGCTCCTCAGCCTGACAAGCTCTGCAAGATCTGAGGGATTCCTTAATATGGACCTGAATGAAATCACCATGAACTTGGTTCCTTTCCCTCGACTTCATTATCTTGTGTCAAGCCTAACACCTCTGTACATACTGGCAGATGTTAACATTCCCCCTCAAAGATTGGATCAGATGTTTAGTAAAGATCACCAGCTTATTCAAGCAGACCCCAGACATAGTCTCTACCTTGCCTGTGCCCTCATCATTAGAGGAAACGTGCAGATTTCAGATCTTCCCAGAAATATTGAAAGGTTAAAACCTGCTCTGCTGTGTCTCCTGGAATCAAGAGGGCTGGAAGACTAGCCTGTGCTCAGTCCTACCTGTGGGTCACTCTCATTCACTGTTAGCTTTAGCAAATAACACATGTGTGAAGCCTGCCTTCATGGAGCTAAGAGAAAGGTTCATGATGCTCTACAAGAAAAAGGCTCACCTCCACCACTATCTACAAGTTGATGAGATGGAGGAGAGCATGTTTGCGGAAGCTGTGTCCTCCCTGTCAGTACTCAGACAGGAGTACAGTGACCTCGACGCAACAAAGAGCCTGCCTCTGCCCGACGTGCCCAGGCTGAGCATGTTCTTGTGAGGAAGAAGCTACAGAATGCACGTGTTACTTTTTTCTGATTCACATTGGGTTTTGTCCCCTTTCTGTTTCAGCCTTTTCTGTAATTCAGAAATCCCAGTTTGGTTTTCATGGTATCAGGAAGTATTTGTCTCAAATGGTGGTTTCTGTTTTATTACATTTTTTTTCTAATACTAGTGTGTGGTATCACATCTAGCAATTTGTCAAAGTAAGATAAGAGAGCAAGCATAGTGGCGCAGGAGTACCTCAGTGCAGCTGACATGCAGGAGGACTGTGTTCAGGGCCAGGCTGGGCTGTGCAGCAAGAGACGATGTAGAGTACTTTATTCATGGCATCTGCAGGCCTCTTCAGCGATGATGCCTCAGAGAGACTGTTTACATATCTTTTCTTATTTATACTTTATTTTTCATACTCTGTTTGAATGCTGGAAAAGTAGGTACCAGGAATGGAAGAACACAATCTATGTAATGTCTGGACGTTTCTGGGTAGTTTTTATTAAAACTGTTCAGACTTTTTGTTCTTTGAGTAATATGTATGTATATTCAAGTATTTATACTCAAGAAACACAACTTAGACATCCAGTCACTTTCATAACAAATAGTTTAAATAGAGCCACTGGTCATTGTTTACCATGTCCCGTGTGCATACTGAAAGAACATTGCTAAGTTTGATGTCTTCTGAACTTTGTAGTAAATGGTTATCATCTACTGAAATTACTCCACCCTATCTCTCTCTTTTGAGTGTCTAATGTTTTCAGTCACAATTTATGTTTCAGATCTATTGGTTGGTTTGTCTTTCAAGAAAATGATTTTAGGAGAAAATCTGTTTTAAGCAAAAATAATATGTTCTATGCTTCATTTATTAATATTTTATGTTCCTTTGCCAAGTAAGTGTTCTATTTTTGGTTTTTATCACGGAAGTTTGTTTTTATATTATTTGTTATAAAAACTGCAATAGTGCAATTATTAACAGTAGTCACCGACATTCTATTTCCTCCTTCCTAGAAGAATCTTAACTGATACTCAAAATAAGGCAATGATGATTACAGATCCATTTATATAGTATTATCTTACTCATTTCTGTAAATCTGTCTCCCTAGTAACTGTCAGGTGATAGGATCTGATAAACTGTTGTCATTTAACTACCAAGTACAGAAAAGAAATAATGCTGCTGAAGAACTACAGAGTCAAGACATAAATGTTTTCCTCTCTTGGGAATACAGAATTCAACCAAAAACATTAAAAACAATGTGCCTATTGTTGATCAAGCGTTTTTAAGGCCATAGTTCCTGCTAATGGATCATCATGAGTGCAACATATCCTTATATACTCTCTGTCAGGACTTCCTACCCACAATCCTCCTCTTCATGAAACTGGTCCCAGGAAGGAGCAGAGCATGACGTGTCAGGACCTATCTCTATGAAGACATCTCCTAAATTCGACACTTCCTTGAAACTGAAAAAATTCTGATTTGCCCAAAATAGGCTAGATATGACAAGCTGCTCCCATAGTGAACAACTAGATTTTACCTCACTACATTGGGTAAGGAAAAAAAATTAATGGGTAGAAAATAAGTAATTCTTCTTACTCTAATGGAGTTTTCCTTTTTGTAGCAGCGATTACAGGGTTTTCACGAATTAATCATAATTCACATTTCTATCACTGGTCTTAGATGTAGCTTTGTTTCCATAACTTGATAATCCACAAACCACAGTTTTGTTTTTATCTCTTTCATTTCAGAGATGCAGCCCTATGATGACCTGAGCCGATGGACAGCAAACAAACTTGATGCTGTTGTTGTGGGAATAGAGTAAGAGAATGACAATTTTCATGCTATGGTCATAGCCCTCCCAGACTAGGCTTGGTTTACAAAGCAAGCCACCTAAGCCTCAGACATGGTTGGATCCTTGTTCTGAAGTTTAGGTTTAAATTCTTTTTTTCTTACCTGGGAAAGGCAGCCACTACAGTCCTGGGATGTATTTCACTTGAGCTACTAATAAAAACACTGTAGGTTAGATTTAATCATGGACTTAGTGTTGTAGGTGTTGATTAATATTTACTATTGATATTCTTTTAGTAATGCTTGCTATTAATCCTAAACAGCTGTATAACCAAATCACCACACAGAGACTGGGTTTATTTAGTTAACCTAGAACACAATGCTGGGCAATGATTACTCCCTCTTAAACCTCCAAGCCCTCATATTTTCCTAACATTTAGATTTTACCCATTATACTTGTTTTTTGTGATATATTAGGTCTGGTCCATCTCTCCACATAGTTCCAAGATCTCTCTCCAACTCAGCTCTCCTCTCTCTGCTTTCTGCTCCCACCTTTTCCTGTCCTCCAGTTCCTCCCCTCTTTCCTGTCCTCTGGCTCCTCCCATCTCCCGCTTACTTCCTTTCCCTGCTCAACACTGTGGCTACTTGCTTTATTTAGAATTTTTCACCAAGTTGAGACAGGATGTTTAGAATAAGTATCACAATGCAATGTCCAGAATGAAATGAGAGAGGGGGTTTGAATGAACAAGGGTAAAGTGTATACATTTCAAAAGAACATTATACCAACATTAATATTAGATCAGTGTTGGGACATTCAAGTGTTCTTCAATTAGAGTTCTTCATATATCATGATTTTGATGCAACTTTCCATCATATACCAAGGATGGGAAGATACATATTACACAAATATTTACTGGATGTACTCTATATTTATGAAACGTTCATCATGAGGGTGAATGTTTCCCATTGACTCCATAGTGCAGAATGGATTTACAGAATTATGGACTTATCTGAATACACTGAAAGGAATCTTCACTGCAAGTGTAATAGAATCAAGTAAATATACTGGAAGGTCAGTGCTGTCCTTGTAATCAATCACTGAAGCAACTAGAATAATTATATTTTCTGAAATATCTGACTTACAATCTTTTTTCTTTTTTTATATTTTTTTTAATTTTATTTTTTTCTTATCAGTTACATTTTATTAACTCTGTATCCCAGCCATGTCCCGCTCCCTCATTCTCTCCCAATCCCACCCTCCCTCCCTCATCTCCACTGTGCCCCTTTCCAAGTCCACTGATGGGGGGGGGCTCCTCCCATTCATCCAATCCTGTTTTATCAGGTATCTTCAGGACTGGCTGCGAAGCCCTCCTCTGTGGCCTAACAGGACTGATCCTCCCTTAAGGGGTGGGGAGGTCAAAGAGCCAGTCATTGAGTTCCTGTTAGAAATAGTCCTTGTTCCCCTCACTATGGGAAACCAATTGGTTACTGAGCTACCACAGGCTACATCTGAGCAGAGGTTCTAGGTTATATCCATACATGGTCCTTGGTTGAATGACAGTCTCTGACAAGACCCTGTGCCCAGATATATTTGGTCCTTGTAGAGCTCCTATCCTTTCCCCATCATACTAACTCCCCTTCTTTCATATGATTCCCTGTACTCTGCCGAAGGTTTGGTCATGAGTCTTTGTATCTGCTTTGAAAACACTGCTACTTAGTCTTTCAGATGCGCTCAGTAGACTCCTGTCATATGTTCAATGCACATCCCATCTGTCTTTCTAAATGAGGATTGATCATCTTACCCCATGTCTACTCTCTTGATTATTTTTTTTAGGTGTATAGATTTCATTATGTTTGTCATAATTTATAGGGCTATATAAGTGAGTATATACCATGTTTGTCTTTCTCCTGGGATATTTCACTCAGGATGATCTTTTCTAGATCCCACCATTTGCCTGCAAATTTCATAATTTCCTCCTTTTTGATTACTGAGTAGTATTCCATTATGTAAAAATACCACCAGAGGCGGGGCAAGATGGCGGCGCCGGGAGGACTCTCATTCTGAGGAGCAGCACAGCAGGATTGGCACAGTGACCAGCAATCAGAACTCGCGGCCATAAAACACAAGTGGTTGTGTTTCTCAGGTGAGAGGATACCCCACGGTGGGGGATTCGATCAGATTTAACTCACCCAGCTAAACCGTGGAAGAGATCCCCGTTCCGCCAGGCGCTTGGTCGTCAGCCCAGAGCTACCCGCCAGCGCGATCTGGTCACGGTCCCAGACTGAACTGTGGGCCCACAACACCATAGACTGGATTTCCCAGTCGAGAGATAACCCCACAGAGCAGGAAACAATTGGGACCGACCCCAGGTTACCCAGACATCCCCTGGAAAAGACTTGGGTTCCGCGGGTGCCCCAGGAGCCAGCGCGGACCCATTGCCGGGACAAAGGCACCTGCCTGCACGGAGCCCTGTCTGCGCGCGTGATTCGCCACCTCAGATAGAACTGTGGGCACCAGGGCACCAGGACACCAGACTGCGTGTCTCTGGCAGGAGGAAATCCCCAACGGAGGGGGTCAGCAGCTCTAACGCTTAGGACACCCAGCACCAAAACACTTCCTGGACTCACGCAGACTCTAGTGCAAGCAGAAGCGCTGGGCTCTGCCGCCATTGTTGCATTCCCCTGGGGCACTGGGACACACAGCTGCATCCTTGGACCTGCAGGAGCCAAAGAGCCATTACAGCAGCCCTCAGATACTGTGCCAGGGATCGGCCAGTTGTCCCTGGCTGGACTGCCAAAACTGTAGGAATCCTTGATCCTTCAGGGGGGCTGCACCCACAGCGTCTGGCCCAGAGCGGTGCCTACAGCCGCCATCCCAGACAGAGACACACAGCTTCTGGTCCAGAGTGAGGCACCCAGCCTCCAGACCAGAGCAGTGCCCCCAGGCGCCAACTCAACCTAGGTGCACATCCTCCAGGTCCAGAGCAGAGCAATCAGCCTTTGGCCCAGAGACTTGCTGAGTGCACCTCCCACTTTCTCAGACAGAACTGTGCGCCCCAGGATAACAGACTGAGTTTCCCTGTTGGGAGAAAACCCCACAGCTAGGGAATCAGCAGTCTCTTCAAGAGGACTGTACATGGAAATTTAGTGAGCAGCAGCACACTAAATTTATAACAAGAAACCCAGCAGTGGGGCAGCTGTCTTGACAAATTTTATGGGTAAGAGGAGATCCCCCCCCTGCCTAACATAGACCACAGCTACTACTCAGGGCTATAAACCTGAGGTGAGCAGTGGCAACTCCTGAGAAACACTGGCCATACAGTGACCATAACCAAAAAGCAGAGAAGGACTCCTTCAGGAAAAACCATCTTCCGGCCAAGGGGATACTCCCTACCTCAGGACTCCAGGAAGCACAGAAACTAACAGCCAGCACCTAAATCAGCCCAATGGGTAGAGGTCAGCGTAAAGGCTCAACCAACAAAAGACAGAGCAATATGGCATCTCCAGAACCCAGCCATCCAGGGGCGAACAGCCCTGAACAATGCAGCATAATAGAAAATCAAGAAGATGACCTTACATCTATGTTGATGAAGAGAATAATAGAGGAAACAGATAAAATACGTAAAGAATTAGAGGAAGATAAAACCAAACAGATCATTGCTATCCGTAAAGAAATGGAGGAAGATAGAGACAAGCAGATTAGGGCCATCCGTGAAGAAATACGGGAAGATGCAGCCAAACAGATTGTGGCCTTCAGAGAAGAAATGATTAAATCACTGAAAGAAATCAAAGAGACAGAGTTGAAGGAACTAAAAGAAAAGGAGGAAAATACAACCAGACAGGTGAAGGAAGTAAACAAAACAACTCAAGACCTGAAGATAGAACTAGAAAAATTAAAGAAAACACAAATGGAGGAAATAATGGAGAGGAAAAATTTAGGGAAGAAAACAGGAACTACAGAGGTAAACATGCAGACCCTAAGAGAACACAGATGTCAACCCAGGCTACTATACCCTGCAAAACTCTCAGTCCTCATAGACGGAGAAAACAAGATATTCAATGACAAAAACAAATTTCAACAATACCTACACACAAATCCAGCATTACAGAAGACACTGGAAGTGAAAATACAACCCAAGAAAATTAGCTTCTGTCAAGAAAACACAGGAAATAATTAACCTTACTACAGCAAAACAAAAAGAAACCAAGCACACAACCTTATGACCACAGCCAACATCAAAATCAAAGGATCTAACAGCCACTGGTCATTAATCTCTCTCAACATCAATGGACTCAACTCTCCAGTAAAAAGACACAGATTAACAGAATGGATACGTAAACAAAACCCAGCAATCTGTTGCATACAAGAAACACACCTAAGACACAAAGATAGACATTACCTGAGGGTAAAAGTTTGGAAGACGACGTTCCAAGCAAATGGACCCAAGAAATAAGCAGGAGTAGCCATTCTAATATCTGATAAAATAGACTTTCAACCAAAATTAATAAAAAGAGATGAAGAAGGACACTTCATACTCATCAAGGGAAAATTCCACCAGGAAGACATCACAATCCTGAACATCTATGCCCCAAATACAAGAGCACCCACATTTGTAAAAGAAACATTGATAAAATTTAAACCACATATAGATCCCCACACATTAATAGTGGGAGACTTCAACACCCCACTCTCAACAAAGGACAGGTCAACAAAACAGAAATTAAACAAAGAAACAATATCTCTGACAGAGGTCATGAATCAAATGGACCTCACAGACATCTACAGAACTTTACACCCAAACACAAAAGAATTTACCTTCTTCTCAGCACCTCATGGAACCTTCTCCAAAATAGACCATATAGTTGGTCACAAAGCAAGCCTCAACAGATACAAGAAGACTGAAATAATCCCTTGTATCCTGTCTGATCACCATGGAATAAAGCTGGACTTCAACAACAACAGAAATAGCAAAAAGCCTACACACTCATGGAAACTGAACAACTTGTTACTAAATGACAGCTGGGTCAGG